TTCAAATGAGCAATTACCTTCGATGTTGTCTTCGAGGTGTTTTAGAGAGAAACCCTCCGAGGAAACAGGTATTTACTCGCGGGAAAAAGACTGTTCTCTTAGGATAGGAGAGAAAATAATAATAGTATTTACAATAATAATGACAATGATACTTGTAACTGTAATATCAGTATCTGGGCAACTGCCCACCTACCCCTCCCCTAACCCAACAACAGTCAATTGATGACAAGTTAGGGTTAATGCTGGGTTAGGGGAGGGGTAGGTGGGCAGTTGCCCAGATACTGATATTGATCCGCCATCTGGAGACAAATAACATTAGGTTTAATGGCGTCATTAGACTATTTGAGCCCATAGTTGTCGAATTCCGCGGAACCAGGAGGTTCGAGTCTCAACTCCTTGTGGGAATCTGGAAAAACTTTTTCTTAACCAAAATACATAATAGTTTATCTAGCCGACAGGTGATGTGAAGAGAATTGTCCGACGAATGTTTGTTTGTTTGTTTTTTTATATTCTAGCACACGGTGTGTTTCCCGTCCATTGATAACGATAAGTTATCAGAATTGCATGATCTCTCCCTCACTTCAATTTTTTTTTTGTTTTCTTCCTATAAAATGTACTATTTTATGACAAAATACTTCAGCAGTTTTTTCCTTTTTTTGTCAAGAGGAAAACAAGTGAATGTGCGACTATAATTCAGCTATAACGATCACTTAGATCTAGAACTATATAAGCAAAGCTTATTTAACAAGCACTTTATCAGAGATAAAACATACAGAAGCCGAAGTAATCAAAAAAAAATATTGAAATATTGAGATAATGGTATTAACACAACAATAATCTAATGTACGTCGAAGTCACCCCATGATTACAATTACAATTAGAATCAGTACTTGTACGGTGTTAAAGAATGTCTCTCAAAAACTATAAGCTTCAAAATAATTATTTAACAACCGATTCGAAATAATAGAAATGACGATCATGGGCGATGATTAATTATGGACGGCACATCATCAGCAGGTAACAACTGAATGATACATAGAATAACCATGTTTTCAATGTTCCAAACGGTACAAAAATAGCCAAAAAAATACCTTTCTCTAAGGAGCCTCTCTGAGAATGAATAGATTCTTGCCAAACAAAGTCGAGATTCGCTGAATATAAATATTCCCTTCGCGATGACAAAAACCGAAGAAAGGAAGAAGGTGCCGTTAACTTTGCATAAAGCATGTATTGTATTTCAGAATCCAATAATCATTCTCTTGAAATGTTGATGACCTCACCTCCGATCGAGCCGGTAAGAGGGCAAGAAAATTAGGAGCTTGCAACCATCCGGAGAATTCGATTAACTTCTGAATAAATAGGTTAATATAACTAGAATTTTATTATCACTCGGTTTCGTAATGATACTCAATCCAACACTTTGGAAAATTCAGATCGAGAGTAACTGAGGCATGTTATGGTCATTCTGAAATTTGTTGTAGGACTGTTAGGCATGAAACGTTCAAGGCGTTTCAAACGAACTAACACCTTTGACGCTAAATAATTCGGAGGAGAAACCCTCTATAAAACGTGGATAATAGGCAAACAGGGGTGGACTGGGAGGAGGTTAAACCTTTTACTTTCAAGATCTGATCGTAAATTCTCCCCTCTTCGTGCTACACATTTCCTTTTTAATTGGATACAAGAATTTCATGTTAGATCAAGATAACAACTTCTACCTGATAAGTTTGAATATTCTCATCACCTGTCTGCTGAATTATGTATGGATATCATAGGAAGAAGATTCATAGTGATCACCACTGGGAGTGAAAGGCTAACCAATCCCATTTCCCCTGATAAAAATTTTTAAAAGAAGTAATAATAATGAAAAGAGAAGAGAAACAATATTTCTTGGCAATAAATTTAATCTAAACCGAGTGATGCATGTCGATTTTTTCATGGTTTACGGAACATCTTGCAAAGATAGAAAAACACTCATTTGAAGAAACACTGGATTAGTAGAAAGGCTCCAACATATGGAATAACGTAAAAGATAACTTTAGGGAAAAAATAAAGCAAGTCAAATGACATCGACCCCCCTTTTCTCCTTCGCCCCACTCCCTCCCCCACCCCCCCAAAAAA